AATTTTTTGAAAATTTTATGAGAAAAAAGATTTTGGAACTAGGCAAGTGTTTCACATTCATAAATATAACGAGATTTTTGTCTTTGAAGTCGCCGTATTTAAAAGATCTCAGATTAAAAACACACCATGGCTCTTGGACATAGACACTATTTGAGCATTCTGATACTTCACTTCAAGTTTAGAATTACAATTGGACTTTCAAACAAATTGAGGAGTATCGTAGAGGAATTCTAGGGATCATGGTAAAATAATTCTGGATAGAATAATCAATCAAATTTAACTATAAATGTCTGGTAATTATACGACGCATTCAAGAAGCTTTCAGGAAAACTAGAGATGAATTCCAAAATAGTTCTGGAGACTATAATGGGGATTGCAAAATGAAATCGAAAGGAATTTCAGGGAACATTATAACAGTAAGTGGGAGTAGGATTCAAAGTGAAGTAACCATATGGCTGAAACTTAATGATGATATAACTGGATATAATCCTGAAACAACGCCTAATGATCACTTAAGGCTGAAAATCTTTTTTATGTTACTCAAAGAGAAATTTTGAGGAAAGCTGCTAGGGAATCTAATTCTTAATATAACTCAAACAATGCTTTACACCTTTTTAGTTTTTAAGCTAGTTTGAAGAATTTTAAGTAAATTTTGTAGCATATTAAAAAAAACTCTGAGTAGGATATTTAGATGAAATTTCCAAGGGTATTCCAGGGAGAAATTCAAGATAATTAAAATAGACTGAAGTAATGAAATTGGGTTATCAGCGGAATGCTTTAAATAAAACAGCGAACAACATCATCTTCCATTAATTCCACTTAATTAATTTTGGTATCCATGACGTATTTCAACAACAATGTGTTGTCTTCATCAGTGTCATTCTCACTAAAGAACTTATCAAAACCTAACCCCCTCAAGTACTCATGACGCAAGTTCTGAATGTGAGAGCATCATCGATACCCGAGAAAAGTCGGTTAACAAAATAAAAGCAAATCGATATTAAAGTTTGCAGTTCCTATCATAATGAAAACTCATTTTTTTTAGCCGGCGCCGGTGGTGTAGTGGTAAGCGTGACTGCTTTCTAGCACCCCAATGGATCTGGGTTCAATCCCAACCGAGGTCGGTGAGATTTTTCTGAGGGATAAAAATCTCTGGTCACGTCTTCCTTCGGAAGGGAAGTAAAGCCGTTGGTCCCGGCCCATGTGTGTTGTGAATGGGTGCGATATCCTACGCAGGTGTGGAAGCTGCCTTCCTGCACATTCGATTGCTGTCAATGGATGGCAATCGATGTCCGTCGGTGATTGGCACTAGATTGCGGAACAGAGACCGACGGAATGAAGAAAACTTATTTTGATTTCAATTGTCGCGACAGAAGTCTGATATCATCTTGTGCTTTCATTATGCAGTCAAGACTTTTAAATCCTTAACTTGAAGTTCTGCTGTTAATTTCTTGTTTAAAATTTGATTTAAGTTGAACTAGCCATTATAGTTTATTTGTTTTGTTTAACACATTTTAGGTCATTCGTGACTAGCCCGAGGTGACAAATCAAATCTTTCAGCCTGAGAAGCATGGATGCTAACCATTTACGACAGGCCCGTATTCAGTCAAACATTTTGAATGGAAAATCAGTAATCAAATTGATTTCTTTTAAAACAGAATTAGTTTTCCGTTTGATTCAACATTGTAAAATTTTACTCTCATTTTTTCTGTGTTAACCGTTAAGTCAACTAAAATGAGATCAAATGGAGTATTCAAAATAAGTTAACATCATAACAGCAAATTCTGATTTCAATTTGATCTCTAACTTTGCTCGGGTATAGATACGGTTTTTGTTGGAAATCGTCCATTTCCTTGGGGGCATCGGAACATATCTGGGGGCACCGAAACATGCCCAGGAGATCCAATATGACCGTGGATTCTCAATAGGGCCTTTACTGGCCAAGTTCTGCAACATCATGTAGCTTGATGTGTCGCACGACGGGTTTTAATACTAGTTGAGAATCGGCCACTTCCCCGAGGGAACCGGAATATATCCGGGAAAGCTAATGAAAATCCATGAAGTTGGATTTGGTTCATGTCAAGGATTTGGTTCGGTACGGGTTTTGGTTCATGTCGAGGATTCGCCAGTTCCTCGGGTGCACCGAAACATGTCCAGGAGGGCTAGTGTGACTGTGGACTCTTAACAAGGCCATTTCCAGCCGAGTTTTGAAAATTTATAAAGTTTGAGATGTCGCATGACGGGTTTTGGTTCTTGTCGAAAATTGGCCACTTCCTTGGGGGCATCGGAACATGCTCGAAAGGGTTAGTGTGACTATGGACTGTTAATAAGGCCATTACCGGCCAAGTTTTGTCAAATCATGTTGTTTAATGTATCGCACGACGGGTTTTGCATCTTGTCGAGAATTGGCCACTTCCCCGGAGGCACTGGAACATGCCCAGGAGGGCTAGTGTGACAGTGGATTCTCAATAATGCCATTACCCGCTAAGTTTTGCAAAATCATGAAGTTTTATATGTCACCCGACAGCTTTTGGTTCTTGTCGAGAATAAGCCACTTCCCCGGGGACACCGGAATATTTTTGATTCCTTGCTCCTGGGCATGTTTCCATGTCCCCGGAAACATGCCCAGGAGCAAGGAATCAAAAATATCTCCAAATGACAAAATGACAAGCGATCAACGAACCGAATGATACCCGTAAAAAAAGAACCATAGAGGTACAATGAAATGTATTGTAACCATACAATAGAATTTATTGTATTCACAATAAATCGTTCTGTCAACAACAATAAAATAACCATAGAATTTATTAATTCCACAATATAATCTATGGTAAATGGGGAAATCTACAATACAACAAGAGGGTTGTTATGTATCTAAACCATACGAAAAATCACTTTTTTCCCGAACAAACTTGAGCCATTTACCGTTAATTGTAATGTTGTTCTATTGTTGAAAATCCTTCCAATATGGGACGTGTTGTACATCGATTTTAATAACAATATGTTAAAATTTCTGGTACAATATACGTAAAATAAGATAGATTGTTGACAATAGATTTCGTTGTAACTGTTTTTTTTATTATTTTATGGTAATTTTATGGTTATTTTTTTTTTCGGGTAACGCTATGTCAGAAGTGGAAAGCAATAATGATATAATCTTCTTCCTTCTTTTTCATGACAAGCAGCCCGTGCGACACAGCAGCTCACTCGGGGCGGTAGAAGGAAACGAGCAAATTGTTGGCAAGCTGCTTCACGAAGTAAAGCCGAAGATGATACACGTGTGTTAGTGGGAATTTTTTTTGATATGTCTTTTCTCGATTCAGATCAAGCTATGTCCTCATCCGTGTATATTGTAACAAAGCAGACAAGTAATATATCATTATCATTCCATCACACCGATCCAGCTGTGTTGCAGTGAGAGTTTGTCGTGGTAGTCGTAGCAAGCGTTTTGTCTGTATCGTTGGTTGCTTTATGTGTTTGGATTCGCTGCCCAGGAGGGAACTTTTCTGGGATGCCCAATATGATCATGGACCATTGGTATAGCCGGAATTGGTCCAATTACATCATTTGAGTGAGAAAATATTATGTTCACCGTGTATATAATTATTACAGTAAAGCTGAATGCCGTCCCAAAGTGACCCCAACGGAAAGTGGCATAACTCCGGAACCATGCATTGATCATCGGAACCATGATGAAAAACTTGAATAGATTCCCGACAAAATGCAACTAGTTGTGCAGAAAAATATTGAGGAATGATGAGCTTATTGAAGTTTAAAATCTATGCAAATTTAGACGTTAGGCACGAAAATGATGAGAATACTGACAACATGAAAAAGTATTGCCAAAGCACCCAAGTAACCAACAAGCCCGCTAATTCGCCTTTTTGCAATAAAAGGCTAATATGCTTCTAATATAAAGCTTAGCATGCCCTATGTTAGCCGTGTATCAGCCTTATATTGCAAAAAGGCGAATTAGCTGGCTTGTTGGTTACTTGGGCAGTGATTTACCACATTTTAAAGTAACGTTCATAACATTCATTTGCTTATCGCTGCCATGCCGAAATTTAATTCGACCTAACAGTAGTGTGCTGCTAAATTTGCGGTAGCCAAATAAACATATGGAAATAGTTTGTTAACAGAGTGCGGCACTGCTTCGTCATACTCCACTTCGCGTTGGCAAATCCCCCCTTTAAATCAGGAATTCGACATCCCCGAAAAATGTTCACATCGACATCGAAAACTTGAAAAATGTTCTCATTCTTAAAATATTTGTAAACCTCCCGGATTTGCTTGGGATACCCCCGGAGAACTGATATTGTGTCGCCGTTTGTCTGACTTCCGACTTTCGAACCTACATCTGACCTTACGTCCCACTTTCACGGAAATCATGAATTTAAGATTGTTGACAGCTCTTTTGCAATGCTACCAGTCGCGTCAGAAATCAATTAATCAGCTACATACAGATAATTTGAATCTGAATGCACAATATTTGGTGTCCAAAACTGGTCTGCGACCAGAACCTAACATGTAGTAAATATCAATGCTATTTAATTTTATACGAGAAAGACAATTGTCAACGGTAGGTGGATTAATCCGGTTTTTAATTCAATACTTCATCCATTCTGCCACATAATAATTATGATAGATAAACATGAACGACTATAGAGGATCATCAACAATTTTACGTGGTTTTAGACTAATTAACTTTCAAAAGTGTTCGGATTTGTGGACTACCTGACGGTATTTATTAATATCAACTCACCAACTGATGCGTTCTGCGTGAAGGTATCGGATAAGCTGCATTAATAAGTAGCAAAGATCGTCTACCTCAGCAGATGACTGTCTAGAACTACATAAAGTCGTATCTCAGCTTATGTACCAGGTAAGGTATTTCAATAACAAAACAAAGTAAAAAATAATACGCAATACTCTACATTACAATCGTAGAACAACGTAACTTCCCGTAGGTCTTGTTATCACACGAACCTACATCAACTTACCTAAGTAAACACAATCGTCCATCAGGAAAAAAAAAACACATCCACTTTCCCGGGATATATCAAACACAATTATGCTCACTTAGAAACACCAGTTAGGTTCAGTGACCAACAACCGCCTCACCCTCTCTAATGACAACAATTATTATCTTCTCTCTAGTGCTTCATCTCCAGTATCAAATAGCAACTTTTCACAGGTAAGTACACCCAGCAAACTCACGAAGGCCGCCAACACTGAACATTTCCCACGCAATCCAGTCCAGCAGTACTACACAATTTATCCTCAATCACCAAGGGAAAGCCTTCGATCCTTTCGGTACCACGCTCGCCAACCGACTAACGAAACTAATTTCCAGCAGTTGAAATTTAATCTTTCACCAGGGAAAATCCTAGCCGCAGCTCAGTTTTCCCAACCCCAAGTCAGGATTCAACCGAGATCCGAGAGTGAGATATGAGAGCGCGAGGAAAAACATGGCTCTCACCCGCCACGTGGACCACAGGGCAGGCGACTCTCTGTTGATGTAATAATTGTAATATGACGAAAACAGATGTTCACTTGGCCGCCAAAACAAATCTCCCTTGCTCCCCGTTGTTTACATTTGAGCGAGCGTGATACCGGCGGAAGTTGCCTATGAAGAAAGCAAACGGAGCGGCAACCGTGTTTGCGCCGGCTTCGTGAGAGTGAGTGCAGTTTCATTCATGATTACGATTTTCGTAGTGGGCGATGGGCGGAAGAGTGATGCGCTGGTCTGGGTGATGGATGAGGGTGCTCATGGAAGCGAAGGGAGTGGTGCGGACTAGCATCTAGACGAACATTACAAAAAGTAATAAACACATTGATCGGTTCTCTTCATTTCCGACACACACAGGAAAGATATTAAATTTTAACGACATCGTGTAATTTTAAGCTGAGCTTGACAAAAACAACGCATTTGTTAACAAGAGTGCAAGTAGGTATATGGTGCAAGCAAGGTTGCAATATGGCCGATTTTTGCGGTACACGTAAGTGCAAAGCTAACAACATCTGATCCTTCTTACACTCAATATAACCACCAATGATCTTATTTTTGAATAATAAAAAAGGAAGTGTTACTGCTACCTAAAGATACAACAAATTTAAACAACACTTCTCAGTAACGGCACCGGTGGTGTAGTGGTAAGCGCGATTACCTCTCACCCCAGTCGGCGCCGCCGGGATGTTCTGAGGCATAACATCTCTGATCACGCCTTCCTTCGGATGGGAAGTAAAGCCGTTGGTCCCCGGTTTATGAGTTGATGGGTCGATAGGTAGGGTCCAGGTGTGGGAGCTGCCTTCCTGGCACGTCGGTAGCATTGGTGCTCGTGCTGATCGACGGAAAAAACAAACCAAAGAAAAAAAAAACACTTCTCAGTGCTAAATATTGCCTACCAATTATCAACCTTGTTCGATTCTCGTTCGGAACCTTTGGGTAATCCGCATTGCATATCGGGAAATTCCTCATTGAAGCGGGATAAAAATCCATCTGAAGATTCTAGTGCAATGAGTAAGCTCTCTTCAATAAATGAACTTTTTGAAAAGATAATTTTCAAAAGAATAATGCTTCACATTAATACGAACTCATTTTTTTCCAGATGAGCAGTTTGAATTTCGCCATGGGCATTGAACTAATCATCAACTCTTAAGAGTTACTAATTTAATTCTAACAAACAAATCTGTTGAAAAAGTTAAATTTTTCACTCTATGTTATGAAACTATTATAACCATTATTAAACTGACATAATTCTACAGGCCTACGATCGACTACCAGTTGGAGCTGGAGTTCCTAATGTTTGCCGATGACCTGTGTTCGAGTATTTTGCTGCAAATTACTAAAGGTAGATATTTTCGCTACTCTTTTTTTTTTAAATGAAAGATTTCTCCCAATGCTTCCAAAAATCTACTTCTAAGCTTCCGCCTAGAGCCTAGAGCCTCCTATTTGAAACGCAGTAGTATTCACATAATCACTATGAACGGAGTTCCAATTTCTTGGTCTAGTAAAGTGAAATAAGCAAAGTTTCATGAAAATCGGAGAAGTTTTATTTTTTATCCTATTTGGCCTAGAACTGGTCGGAATTAATGGTAAATTTTTGGATTCTTCCATTCCATTTCAAGTAAGTTTTGAGGTTAATTGTGGATTCCTATACCAGGAATAAATGTAAAGCAATTTTGGGAAGCACTTCAATGGAATTTGACAAGATTTTGTTTTATCTCGTTCGTTTATTTGCAAGGCCCAATTGTGTTAGCTTTGGCAGCCTTAAGTATGCACCTTTAGAATTATATATATTGAAAACCGTTCCATTAAAAACATCCAAATTATCCATAGTTTTATGGAAAATCCTCAAAAAAGTGTGAATGATCCATAAAAAATATCACTATTATCAATATTTTATGTGAAATTAAGCAACACAATTATAAAAATGTACCGCTAAATTTCTAAAGAATGAGCATTGAAATTGTACAAAATCAAACCCATACAGATATTGCAATTGATCCATAACACATTCAGCAGTGAACCTTAAATTAAAGAAAGTGATCCATAAAAAATCAAGTTTGCGCACTTTAAAATATAGCCATGATCCATAAATTAGACGTATATTATTCATTTTTAGGACTTTTAAAATTTTGATCCATAAACCTTGAAAAATTGCTCTACTGCTCTACTTAGATTTACTGTCCTGCCCGTAAATTTTAGGTGGAGGTGCGAAGCGACGGGCAAGCGTCTAGAATTTGCTTCCAAAAGAAGATTCTATAATAATATTCTTAAGAATCTTCCTATGGAAGCTTCATTTAGAAAACTTTTTTGAAAAGCTTATTCTAGACGCTCGCCCATCGTTCCGCTCTTCTGACAAAAAAAAAACACGGGCAAAACAGTGTACCTGAGTAGCTACGCAGTAATGTAGCAATTTTCCAAGGTTCATTGATCAAATTAAAAAAAGGGTCCAAATCATGAAAAACATATGTTTATCCCATAGACTATCATTGGAACACAGCATAATAGGAACGTCTACCAATAACTGGAACACCTACCGTAGGTATGATCCATAAAATTAATGTTCATTTTTCATATTTTCTTAAGAAGATTATTATAGAAGCTTCTTTTGGAAGTAAATTCTAGACGCATGACCATCGCTCCGTACCTATACCTAAAAAAAACACGGTAGGACAGTAAATCTAAGTGATAACGCAGTAATGGAGCAATTTTTCATGGTTTGTGGATCAAAATTAATAATATAGAGTCCAGCGACAACCCTGTGGGAGATTTGGAGAGCTACGGTAACGGTCGCTGTCAGAAATGATAGACGTCAGGTTTGATTCAACGGAACTGTGAGTTTAGATAGGTCGGATTAAGAATGAGAAAAAAGAGGAAAAGAAGGTGCAATTCCTAGGAAAAGAAAGTGCATCTAGAACACTAAAATAAGAATTGAATCCCTTAATCCTAAATCAAGCCAAATCTTTGTTGAAAGAGTGATGGAAGATAACTCTCGGTTTGAAAAATCTCCCACTCAGCGTCCTATCGCTTTTCATGGAGGAATTTCTCTTCCTCCAGCGTTTTCAATGACAAACCTTAGCGCTGATAGGATTTGATACGAGTACACCAAAAATTCTGGACCTCCCTTAGCTCAGTCGGTGACCATGCTGGAGGCGTCTGGATTCGTTTCCCGGCCCGGACTAGGAATTTGTCGGGTTGGAAAATGTTTCGACTTCCCTGGGCATAGGATTGTACTTGCCACACAATTATACTAAAGGGTGTCCTACATAGAATTGCATCACGGAAAAAACGCTGCAGAAAATTACCCATTGGGTATTTTCTCTTGAAAATTTGGGTAGAAGTAGTTTAGAGTGTATTGTTTACACTGTATTTTTATCGCTTCACGGAGAATCGAAACAACTCAAAATCGAGATAGAAAGTACTTAAAAATAAGTACTCGCCTATCACTATTGTTTTGGTTTAAATTTTGTTCTCATTGAAAAGTAATTTTAACTTAAAATCAAGTGTTGTGATTAGACTTTATGTTGTTTTTTTTTTTTTTTTTCCTTTATTAGAGAGATTTTTAGCCTAAGGCTAGTTCATCTCTTAACTTTATGTTGGGTGAAAAATTAATTGCATCCTGCGCCATATTTGTCGTCAGCTGGAGAAGCATGCAAGGGAGTGGTTTGTTTGCTGAAGGTAATTTAATGTCCAAACCTCTAAAGTAAAATATATTTCTAGGTCCAAAAAGTCCTAACTAATGCAACGTCTTGACAACGTGTGCTTCGGAAGCCGTAATCTGGATGTGGAATCTACTTAACTTTTGCACTACTCGGTATGTTTGTAAATTATGAAATGTAAACACTTGCTAAATCTTCCTTCGTTTGCAAACTTTTCAGAATCCACGACTTTTAAAAGATCTGCGGCGTTCACCTACGGACTGGACAGGAACTGAATACTACCGAATTATCTGGCAGACTGTGGCTGGGACTCGTTGGTGCATGTTTTTAAAACAAACTGCTGAAGAAAGTGACTAAAAACCGGACACCTTCCCTCAGGTCAAGGACGCATTTAATAAAGTATACTCCGTATATAAGCTGGAATAAAATAACAATGATTGATTTTAGCTGACCAGAAATTATTTAAAAAAAAAAACAATGTGTCCGCCTAATTTTATTAAAACTAAGAACAGGTACATTTTACTCAAAGCGAAGTCTTCGCAAAGTACTTAAAATTAGATTCTTCGCGAAGAACTCAATTTTGACTGGTTTCACTTAGCTGTCAAGATGAGTACAAATGACTTAATTTCGAGTTGTTTCGATTCTCCGTGTGTCAGTTTTTCGCAAGTTGGAAAAAAATTGCGTCACTCGAAAAGTAACGTAGCGAATTGATTTTGCGCAAGCACCGGGACATCAGAAAACAACTCGGAATCGTGCAGTCAACGGCAAATCATGTGACTGAACGTTACTACCATAGAGGTAACTCTAAGACTAGAAGGTCCCGAAATAACGTGCTCAACTTTTTGGCTCAGCTCTGGTACTCTCTACGGTCCCAAGCTAATCGATTCACCCCTCGAAACATAGGAAAATCCACTAACCCCTCATTTTATCTGTCAAACTTTCATAGCGAATCCAAACTAACATTGTGTAGTAGTAGAATTTCGACTAGAATGGGATACGTTAATCGATTTGCTAAACCAATAGGCTAGTCAAGTAGTGAGCCAATTTAAAATCGTTATTTTCGTATTGATTGTTGTTACTACGAAACTCTGAGCATCGCACGGAAGAAGAAATGCGGTCAGAATGGATGTTCTATTAGTGATCAGGATCAATAG